ATCTACATCCCGTAGAGACGGTCCAGGCCTCTCTCTTCACACACGCGAGGTAGTGGCAGTGTATCTACATCCCGTAGAGATGGTCCAGCCCCAGACCCTTGCTTCGCACATGCTCATGTGCAAACTACACTCGAAAAATTTCTGGATCATTCGTGTGCAAAGACGCCACTTGAAATTTCGTCTTGGGAATAATGAATTGCATACAGTGCATTCGTCACACCGTTGAAGCTGCCTCAGGAGTAGTCGGTGGTTGATATGCAATCACCATCTACTATAAACCACGGTGGGATTTCTTGGCAGACTGCCAGGGACTGTGGGCACGTGGTCAGGCATACACAGCAGTCTACGCCTACTAAAATTCTTAATTACTTGTATTGCTTGCCCCTGCACACGCTCGACCATGTATTGCTTATCTCTGCGCACATTTACATCGTAAAATAGTATCAGTGTGAATGATAACTAACACACTGGAGCTGGTCCACTGTTTTTTCTGTCTCGCGAGTTTTTGTGTGCACCCGTGATTTTTTTCACCTTCAATTTCGATTCTTCACCTTGAAATTCGATTTTCCTAACCTTCAATTAGCATCATTTGCGAACGTAATCTATAGCTACCCCCATCCGTCGCACAACTACTGCCTGAATTTGTAATGGTAATACACTCGCCCGCGTATAATTATAAATATCTTTCATGTATATATGTACAATAAAACAGTTTGAACAATTCGTCGACCAGCATCAGACAAGTCGGTGGAAACTGGCCATATCTATCTGTGATCTAAAATAGATTATTTAAAGTACGCGCCTTACGGCAAAACAAGTTCCTTAATACACGACGAGGACTAAGGTTAGAACATCCTAGCACCACACACCATAGCTGCAGTGTAGCGAGGAGCCCTTCACTCTCACACCATCGCTATACATCGTACGAGAGCACCCTCGAAGGAACACAGAGGAAAGGAAGAGCTACAGGAATAGAGAGCACCACGCACCGCATGGGTAGTCACAGACCAAGGGTTCGTTGTCAGAAACAGAATTAGTCGTGGTCCCAACATTAATTTTTACTGATACAACGACGACGGAAACGTTACGTAACGTTACGAGTTTCACACATACACTCGGTGTATAGCGGTCTGGTCTATGAGAATAACGTTAAATCGACTAAGTCACCAATTTTCTATGGTGTATTTTGTAAAATGTTTGTTGCCATTTTTTACATTAAAAGTAAGAACTAACGGGACTAAACAAATCGTCAAATTCTTACCTGATGAGATTGTTTCTCAACTAGTTAAAAATCCAAAAAACCTGGACGATTATTATGATCCTGACATTAATTGCTTGCTATATGAGCTATGTATGAGTCACGAGTGTATGTTAACATCGAGCAATATAGTAAAATAGGAAGTATAATGCAGCAATTTAACCATAAAAAGTGAACAGAATCACTTACATTTTGTGAAAAAGTGGAAATATATTTTTTACTTTTACTATTTACGGTTTTTCGTAATCACTTTAAGAAAATAACGACTACTGTCAAGACTAATTTTGTTTCTGACAACTGGTCCCTGCACCATGAATAACTATTGTGTCAAGCAAATGGCTGGTCATGATTGCCACAGGGGCAACCCACAGTACCAGAGTTATTCAATAGCGAGAGAAGAATGGTGACGTGAAGAATCGTCACATCAATCGCAAAACGTTTATCTGCGACTTAAAACGTCTATTTGCCATGACTGGGATTTTTTTTAGCCGAGTATAACGGTTGTCTTGCGGCACCAAATCAAGAATTAACAAAACAAAAATCTTGCGCGAAGCAAATGACGCTGCCTCTCCGACAAGATTATGCAACCGCTCAACAACTTTCAACAACCAAACACAATAACATCCCATTTTCCAGGACTCGGAAAACAGCATTTAAAAAAATTCAAGTACCTTCGTCAAACGCACAGAGTGAGTTCAACCGACATTGTCTCGAATCGAAGTCTCGAATCGACATTGCAATTGGAATGCCTGAAAGCTGCATCTCGTGATGGGCTGGTAACCGGGGGCAACGCCGACGCAGCGTCCAAACGCCCCTCCCTCCCGCCAAACTCGCAGTATATCCAGCATGCACGTGTTGCATATATTACTAAGAGTCTCGCGCGATAAGGCCACTGTGTGTGCGGCAGGTGGCACGCCCGTGCCTCCGCCGCGCTCCTGTCCAGGTGTGTGCCCAGTGCAGACTTGTCTCCTGCTTCTTCTTCTTCTTCGTCTTCGTCTTCTGTTTTTTATCTTCGTTTGTTTGCGGGCACAATACGGCAGCGCAGATACGACGTATGGCCACCCGCCACCAGCACACAGTACACGGTACGGTTGCCGTGGCAACGACAAAGGGACATGCAGCGTCTAGGCCCGCGTACGGCTGACGAGGCATCTACCCCGCCATCGTACAGTTGTCGTGGCAACGACAGAGGCACGCGTAGTCGCTAGGCCCGCGCAGGGCAGACGAGGCGTCGACCCCCCGCGTGCGATGTCTTCTCTCGTGCTATCACAGAGTTGCGGGCACTGCCGCCACGCCGTAGTATCGCAAGCCGCTTCTCGCCTCCCAAAAGAGGAATTCCGTGGAAGCTCGCAGGGTCATCCGCCGCATGTCCTAGCGGGCCGCCGCTTGCCGCCGCGGGCCGCCGCTTGCCGCCGCTATTATAATAATATTATTATGATAATATATATATCTCATGTATATTATAATACATAGAAAATAATCTGGTTGCCATGCCCTGCGCATGCAGACAGCGTGATGGCATACGAGCACGGTGGTAGTGATGGCGTGCCGACGGAGTTAATATAAGAAGGGGGAGAGAAGCGCCGCCATTATCTGGCCCAATTTTGAGGTTCGGCAGAAACCCTAGAACAGATTAGTGTTCTATTGTCTCTGGGCTTTTCGTTCTGCACAGCCGTATTTAGCTGATTTGCGTCCATATGGATGGCGCCCTTTGAGGGCAAAATGGGTCGCCAATTCGCTTCCTCTCCTTGTTATATTTAGCCCTTTAGTGCGGTGCGAAGGCATTTTTAGAACGCGCACCCTAACTCATCTAGAAGGATAATATTAGTTATAATATTTATTATAACAATATTAAAATACATAAAAACATAATCTGCGGAAAGAACTCCCCGTTGTCGGAAACGTGATGATCGTTGGCAGACGTAGAAAAAAGCGTTCTCCGCATTTCTTTTCTCCGGTGCTCCGTCCGTTGCCGTCTCGACGACGACGACGGATAACAGTCTGAGTAGTGATCGTGACTAATGGGCGAGGAGGGAACGAAGGACACTCCGTCGCTACGGCGATGCGGCGGCGCCGACTCCCAGAAGTGGATCCTCGAGAACATGAAGCTAGGAGATGGAGATGCGGCGAAGGCACGACTAGCACGGCGGCGGCCCCCCTGGCGGGACGTTGGCGGTGCTGCTCGCCGCGGTTGACGCCAGACCCGGCGCTATGGATAGCAACGCACTGGGGTCCCATTGATGAGCGAAGTAGGCACATGCGGCGGCCTCGGCTGGCCGCGGCTGGCAAGCGGCGGCCGATCCCCAAGGCGGCAAGAGCGCGGCCCGCTTAGACCATGCGGCGGCCTCATGAATCCCTCGCGGCTTCACGCTGAATTCCTCGCTTTTTGGGAGGCGAAATGCGGCTTTGCGGATACTACCGGCGTACGGCGCGCCCTCATTTGCCCCGATCAACTCTGTGAAATAAGGCACCCGGAAGAAGACTGATGCGGGGGGCCGTCCGCGCTCGTCCTGCCGCCTGGGGGCCCTAAGCCGACTACGCGTTGCTCTGTACGTTGAGGAAAAAAAATGTGATCCCGATGGCGGGTGAATGCTGGTAAAGCGTACGGGGTTAAAAGACCGTGAATGTCGCATTTGTCGTTGAGGCAAAACCGTAGATGTACTGCTTGTGCCTCCGGTGGCGGGTC